ACAGTTCTCATCTCTTAATCAGTCTCTTAATCACTCTCCCTTTCTTGACAATTCGAATCCCCTGATTCGGACAACTTCAGGGTTGCCTTTCTTACATTGGCCGTTAACATCTTACCGTTGATGGCTTTAATCAGCGCCATGGCTCTGTGCACATTGCTTGGACTACACGCCAACACACTAACTGTCGTCGCACCGACGTTGGCCTATGCTATAGGTATGTTTCGCTTCAACTAATGGGTATAGAGTATAGCTAACAAGCTTGAAAATTATGATATTGGATAGTTTGAGTAACTGTTTGGTCTAGGTATTGACGGTGCTCTGATCCTTTACAATTGCTGGGTGAGTAAGCATAAAAGTGGAAGTGTCAAGGATCACATGGCGAAGGTTAGTTTGAAATGAAATTGTTCTTATAGTTTATGCTTTACCTCTGGTGGTCGTCATCATGTTGATTTCTCATGGACACAAACAAGAAATTATGGAAATCCCACTAATGGACGCGAGCGGTCGCGCTGCGTCGCCTGATCATTAAATGGTCCTCGCGTAACCCTGTGTTGGGCCAGCGTTCAGAAAGCTTAGCTTGTTTGAGTGGAAACTAAGTTCAATTACAGCTTATACTAAAGGCTTAAGGCTCAGTCAGTTTTCGAAAAAATCTTTTTTTTTCATATCTGCTGGCGCTGAGGGTTGATTAGGTTACATATATGTGACATTAGGTTCGGTTGTTAACATCTGGACCATTAGGAGCATTCCAGATATACCAATCTAAGTCTGCTCGTAATGGAAAATGCGAAATATGTTCTTTATAACCATGTGCTAGTGAAACTTGGAAACTTCAAATTCAGTCAGATAGAAACCAGTTATATAGCAGAGATACTGTAGCACTTATTCGTTCCCAGGTATTTTCGTCTACGTTCCCATCGTTGACGATCGTTTCGTCTACAGCTATTGGACTCCTGGCTGGCAGTCTGTTCCCTATCGAGGAATTCGCTGGATTATCCGTCTATCTAGGCATTACCATACTTTTCATATACGCATATCAAGTAAGTATCGAACACCTAGGCCTCCCAGTCTATAGATATGGAGACGGACCAGTGATTGCTAAAAAAACCTCGATTCCAGATTTTCTTCCTATCGACGGTGATCGCCTGGTGTTCTCCGATAGATGCGCATTCTCCACTGAGCCAGGAAGCTTCCAGATCCACGAAGACACTTCGGCAGCAAGGCTTCAATGACATGTTGGGTATGAAAAGGATTACAACTCCTACCTCGTAGATCTAACGATGAAGATTCGTCTTTCGGTTTCCGGTTTTCGGACCTTTATCGAAAAGCGCCTGAATCATGCAAGCGCGGTGTATACCATTCTGAAAATGAGGTCCTGGGGTGAACGGGCTCACCTATTCTTATTTCCTTACGGAGGGATTGGTTTTCCATAGAGTTTTTGGTCATAGAGAGAAAGGGGAACGATTCATGAATCTAGTGGCGAGCCACGCCCATCCAAGTGCGCCATGCCTTCAAAACCACGCCCATACACTCAATCGTTGTTTTGCCTTGAATCGATTTCTCCCGGAAATTTTCACCACTTCATCGAAATTTCAAGATTAGCTATCAGTGACTTCATCAGCATCCCATTTAGGCCGATATGCTCGAAGCGTCTCCAGTTCAGCATGGTTAAAAATATTTGGTGCATCACTGTTTTGTCTATGTCTCGCTCTACCTACATATATTGGATCTACAAAGGTCAGTAAAATTTTCATGAAACCCTTCGCTTTATTGATTTGTTTTGGAGACAGCACGCGTAAAATCGATAATTGAGCGTGAATTGTATGATCTTTCAAGGTGCATTCGAATATCGACTATCGAGAACTACTTCCTGCCGATTCGCCCAGCGCTAAAGGTGTACACTTTATGAGCGATGTTGTAGGTTTATTGATTTAATTGATCGCTTTGCTCCATGGGACTTCAATCGATATCGTTTTCAGGTTTGGCCAGAGTTCTTTAATGTGCTATTCTTCATTGAACGACCACCCACTTTTGATGACCCTTCATCGTATGGAAGGTTTAAGGTGAAAAATTCCTCTACGGTTACTGTTATAACTTACTACTATAACGACCATATTCTGTTCACGCGCGTAAAATCAATAATTGCCATTATTGTGGTCCGAAAGCTCTACAAAATATAGTGACGATCTTGAAAAATGTGGGGTTTTATCTGAAAAATTCTTTTTCAGCAAATGATCTCTGAAATTGAATCACTTCCGGGTACTGTAAACAATTCGGGTATGATGTGGATAAACGACTTTAAACGATTTACGGACATGAAAGAGAGCGATACAGGTCAGTTGAGTGACAGAAATGTCGATTACAGTGGGACTTTTGCTCGCCAATTTTTGGTGTGAACTACGCCAACCTTGGGCAAACTCGGCCTTTTATGGGTGGTTCTTCCCAGGTTTCCAAGTGTGCGGCATACCTTCGAATTTCTTCTGATACACTAAACATACAAAAAACAAGAATAACTTCTTAGTACACAGTTCTTTTAGCTCTGAACATGGCATTATTCGAGGAATTTATTACACACGACGTCTACAAAGCATGGAATTCTGGTGTACGGTATCGAATAGAAAAGTGAGTGACTACTTCAGTCATCTACTTCTAGTTCTTCTGCTTACTACGAACCCTGTTTTCTGTCATACAAATTGCTTTTTCAAAGAGGTAATCAGGAGTGAGGGATGAAATTTTTTTGAATGATCATTCACGGAACATGATTTACCCACCCAATATATGTACTTCCATTCAAAAACGTAGTGGCGTCTTTTCTGCGGTAATCAGTCAATGCGTAGTTCAGCGCTCTCCATGATAGTGGCATATGAGCCAACGTGATTTTCTTGACCGTCAGATATCAAACGATCGAATCGATTTATCAATCAATCAATAATAGTTGACATTCTCAGTTGTTTGTTTGTTTAGCGATCGTGTGGTCATCACAAGAATGCTATACATTGCCGCTTTTGAGAACGTGCGTTCCATGATGGACAAAGCGATTGTACTGACGAAATGCCGTCAGGTAAATATCGATCGACATCGATTGGTTATCACATCGCGAAAACCCTCTACAAGAGCTACTTGAGTGAAAACGTCCCATTCAGATCGCTGCCAAATACAATGAGTTTGACGCCGTTCCATTCGATACGGAAGTGGGAATGGTGGATGTGATATTGCAGATTCCTTACGTCACCTACTTGTACGATTATTGACATTATTGACTTTTTTTGCAATAATGACGTCATTTGGGAAATATGCGGTTTGTTACAGTATTCCACTTCTGGTCCTGACTGCATATGCTATAGTCAGCGTGGCTTTAATAGGGAACCTCGCCATCTCCTTCGTTGCCATCGGTTCTGCTGTAATGGTTTTCCTCGGTAAGTCCTTTTTCGGGTTAATAATTTTTCTACCGTAGTCATGACTATTTATACGTGATTGCAGAATCCTACTGTATTTCTTCACTGATTGGAATGATTTTGAATCCCTTCTCAACAGCTTTTCTCATTGTTGTGTCAGTGTTCGCAACCAAATTCTCAACCCATATCTGCTATGCCTTTCATCAGGTGCCAGCTTCGTTTGCAACTACAAAAACAAAAAAAATAAATTAAGAAAAATGCGTGTCTTCCTCGCTTTAGGTTCCTGAAGTTGAGTACCAAAACGACAATTCAAGTCGATTAACTCAGACGCTCCAGAGAGTACTTGTTCCAGTGGCAATGGTAAGTCAATTCGGCCTTCTTCGCGTTTGGAACTATGGGACCTTCCCGTTCTTGTTGCATCTGTACTTTAAAATGGGTATAGATTTTGCGCGTGTGATGGACAACCCATTTTTGCTGGTGTTGGGCGCATTAGTAGTGAGGTTCACAAAGGGAAAGCGGTCCCGTTCACCATGTCGGTATGCTACGGTGGACTGAATTCATTCTTCCAATCAAGTCGCTCACGTTGAGTTATGCCCGTGAACGCGTAAAATCAATAATTATCTCACAATGCACATTCCAGTGCCAATGTATGGTCACATTACCATTCTGACGTTGTTTACCTTTATTGAGAGGCAGTTTGCAAAATCTTCCGTAACCAAAGTAATTTCAGAGTGCGATTGCGGGGTCGATGATGTTCCTTCCCGTGCTGTTCACGAATGTGGCAGTTTTCCGATGGCTGTCTGTACTGAATCTTTGCTGTCTGGTCGTTGGCGTTTTACATTCGCTATTTCTAACCCCGCTGCTATTGACGTGGATTCCGAAAGTTTTTACTGGTCGTCAGTTCCTCTGTACAACCAGCAAAAAGCCCGACGACGTTGTAATGAAGAGCATAAGCTAAGGGAAGACCTTTCCGATGGATACTGTATTCAGGGTACTTTGAGAACACTTAAATGTTGTATAACTTGTTATGACAGCTATCTTATTGCAATAAAATTTAATGTAAGCAGTTTCTCGAGGGAAAGGTTCGAGCGGGAGCGCCATAGGATGGGCGCTATTGTGGAAAGATTGTTCGCCCTAATTCAGAACCATTTGTGGTGTGCACCATGTATCCGAATCATATTCTAAGTCATAATGGTTAATAAAGGCGATGACCATAAGAGGTGATAGCCTTGGAAGGTATTCTTATTAATTTTTTCTGTGTAATTACACTCACTGCTCCTTCGAGACATCGTTTTTCAAGCTTTTATAACAAATGGGATCACACATTTATTGAAGTCTATTTTCGTTCGTAGAGGAACGCTGTGGTCAACAGTCAGTTATCAGGCCTTTTGTTCAACCAGACGTTCGGCCATTGTAGCGAACATTCCATAACCGTCAGCAATCAGTGGCATGTGCAATGACGATCCACCGTCAATCACCAGCTGATGACCAAGAATGAAACTGGATCGTTTGCTGGAAATATGCTTGTTTCAAATATTATGCAGCAGAATCGCTGAAAACTCAACTCACAAAAAACATAAAAATAGGGATTGATTGTCAGCTAAGCCCTTCATTCCAATCTATAAACATAAACCTAA